ATACCTTCCCATTTCCTGGAGGGAAGGTCAGCTTAAGTAAGGCTCAGGAGAAAAGCAAAGTATTATAGGCCCAATCCCAGTACAGTGGGTTGAGGATTGGGATGTGGACCTCTAAGGACCTTTCATATCTTCACTCCTAGTAGAGCTGCTTGTAGGACCAGAAATTAAAAATCAACTGGTAACCAATTCTTTGTTTTCCTTCCTTCAATTGCTGCAGAAGTTTCCAAATTTGTAACCCTGCCCTAATCTTTCCTTCTGTCTCAAATACATTAGAGGTGTAATGGTATCACATTTTTAATTCCATTTTACATTTTTTTACCTCTTATTTTCTACTTTCAAAAACTCAAAGTGGCCCTAATTTTCTTTTGGATCAATGTAGGATTCTTAACAATAGGATTTAAGGCTTCATCTAGCTGACTTTACCCTTAGCATAATTTGGTTTAGGATAAATCTGAAAAATTGAACACATCACTCAGTGTGCAGTAACTAGATAGGTACTAACATGTATAGAATAAATGAGATTATCTGTTGAATAAACCCTCTCACTTCCTCTTTTGCATTCATCTCTCCAAGTCCTACTTTTATATGTCACAGATAACATCTTACCAATTTGAAGAGAACTTTTCTTTCTGTCAGATCATGATATTTGAAGCATTTGTTGTTACTCCTTTCATGAAGCCTTCTGCGACCAGCCAGTCAATATCTAGTCTCTTAAAGTATCACTGGCCCCAACACTTGTTCCTATCAAGTATTCTATCTAAAGGAATAAAATTCACCCAGCACTCAGGTAGAACCCTCTCTGTACAGTGAGTACTGACTAAATGCTCATCAATAAAATCTCCTCTAGCACATTACTCTTAAAGGGCTGTTGAAGAGATCTGAATAAAATCTGAATAAAATGGCAAGTATAAATTAATAATATATTTTAGACAGATATTATAGCATTTTTATTTCAACAAGCTGGGACATAAGAAGATTTGCAACTGAAATCTGTAATTGAAAAAAAAATGTGCTAGATATATTTTCTAAACCTATAGGGTTAACATTTCAGGAAAAAAATTTCCCCTCAATATAGCCCTATCATATAAAAATAAAAGTATATAATAATCAGCAATAAAAAGGTAAAGTTCACTCATGGAATTATAAATCACTAAAGCAATGAGATTTTTCAACCTGCTTGACCTACTAAACTGCAGTATAGGCCACCTCAGGAAGGACAAAGGTGAAGAGACACGTTTTAGTAGAAGAAAGTCATTGGACAAGTAGCAGAGAGTGCTCTAGAAAAGAAAAAAGCATAGGCAGAGCTCCTCATTTGGCTATGAGCATGCCTCAGCAGTGTGGTTTTCAAAATGCTAGCTTTTCCCTTTAATTTTAGGCCCTTTTTCTGATTCTTCTTACACTGACCAGTAAGTAAGAACACTCAATTCAAAAAAATGTTAGAGAATCACAAAAGATATGACAGCTGTTCTGAAGGAGGCAGGTGAGCAGAGTGGTACACACCACATTAAGGCCCCAAAGCAATCTAAATGGAGAGCTCTGAGGTCACCAGTCTACTAAAAAGTGGTCACAGAGAGGAGTGACAGTTTATCATTACAGCCCTGGGCCAGATGAAAGCTGGTAGTCAAAATGTAAAAGACACTACAACTTAACCCAAACATACAACTCTCTTCCAACTGCAAAAAGTTATTTTTTGTGTTAGATACTGGAATATATAACTAAAATTATATACTGGAATATATAATTAATCATTTCAGCTTGAGTTTTGAGAAGTAACTGCATTTTATTAAAGCTTAGAAGAGGTTGTTATAACATGGGGGGAAAAGAGAGATAATTTATGTTTACTGGACCATGTGTAGATGACTGTCAATGGATGACATCACTAGTAGGCAATTATAATATCCAGCATTCCAAAACTATTTAATAATTTGTTCTCAAGAAGTATAGCTTCCGAAAGAACAAAAAAGATAATCTAAATATTTATTTGGATGACTGCATCCCCAAATAAAGTTAATTATAAAAGACAAGTTAATCTCAACCTAAAAAAGGGATCAAACATTTTGCCACCAACTTAAATGGAATGGATTCCAAAAGTTTGTTTCTAAATGAATTATTTGAAATACTCAGTGCATTTCTCCTTGATAAAACATTTCCTATGGCAATGTTGTAGACAGTAGTTAGCCTTCTAGTTTAATAATAAAATCTAGATTAAATATTAGGTACACTTATGGATATAAAGTATAATAGTAAAATAACATGAATATTATAGTCTAAGACCCTGGGTTTCAGATCTGGCACTGTGTCTAGTAGTACTTCCACAAGAAGCTATGTTTTTTAATTCAAAAGGATACCTTGATTCCTATATTTATTACAGCACTATTTATAACAGGTAAGATATAGAACCAACTCAAATACCCAAAAATAGATGACTGGAGCAAGAAGATATGGTATATATACACAAAGGAATATTATTCAGCAATCAAAAAGATAAACTGATGCCATTCATAGCAACAATGGATGGAGCTAGAAGGGATTATGCTCAGTGAAATAAGTCTGAAGGAAGAAAAAAAATATTGGATGGTTTCACTTATAGGAGGAATGTAGGGGAATCAAACAAGGGATCGGGAAAAAAAACAATAAATAAAAAAACAAAATTAACAGGTAACTATAAATCAGAGACATTCTGTATGGAAGGGGGTAGGAGAGAAATCAAAATAGGAGAGGGAAGAGCACAAGGGATTATGGTGAATTGGTGGTGGGAATTTTATGGGGACTACAGTTGAGGGGAGAAAGCAAACATTGTTTAAAAAAAAAGCAAACATTATTTAAAAATGAACAACAGTGTAAAATATATATAAATAATTTATAAAAAGTAATAAAAGTGCATGCAATACAGCATTACTTGTAGTGCAGAATAAAGGAGGAGTAGATAATTTAAAAAAAAAGCAGCTATGTTCTGCAATCTCCAGCAATTACACTTCCTCTGGTCTGTCCCAGACTAGGGTGGCCAAAGCAAAAGTTCTCCCAGACAATGTATGTGTGTGTTGGGGGGGATGTGGGGTGGGGAGGAGTTCCCATAATGGGCAGCTCATTCATGTCTTAGTGTGCTCAGGTGAGAAGTTTATGTGTATAGTTCATGTTCATGAAGATCACCTCCTAAATGAACCTAATGAAGTTAACACTGTTAGTTCAATGCCATGGCATCAATATCATTTACAGATGCTTGAGATCCTGAAACCGAGGACAAAAAAGGTTCAGACTCAATGAGGATAAGATTCATGTGACCCAATTAATCTTCTCATCTATCTGGATGTGCTTTCCAAATATCTGGGCAAGCCCCTCTTTTCAATTTATTTGGCAAATACATTATAAAACAAACTACCGCCTTATACACAAAAGCAAATAATTGTCACAAGACCAATCTACATGGATCAATAAAGTGTTCTGGCATCAAATTAAGGCTTATATATAAGACCTGTCTATGGAACATATGTCTTTCATAAAAGACCTGTCTATGGAACATATGTCTTTCATAGTGCCATCTGAAGAGATAAGAGACATGGAGTTGAGGCCCTGGGAAAGCTGCCTGCAGAGGTCATCAGGAGAAATGTTCGGTAAATGATCACAATTCAGAGTGACCATGGATTCAATGGTCATTATGCAAACCATGGAAGAATGCTACCATTAAGAACTCCACAATCAGAATATGATATACTCATAATGGGTTTTTCCTCCTTCAGATACTGTTATGGGCTTAAATGTTAAATATAATTAAATAAAACATTAATATCAAGAGCATTAAAATAGCACACTCTTTGAGGAGATGTTACAATAAGAATGAGAAAACTCCAAATTCATTGTTTACACCAATTCTCTATATGACTAGATACTACTATTAAAAATATTTCCTCTTTAAATGCAAATGGCCAACAGGCATATGAAAAAATGTTCAACATCACTTGTAATCAGGGAAATGCAAATCAAAACTACCATGAGATACCATTTTACACCAGCGAGAATGGTCCATGTTAAAAAAACTAGCAACAACAAATGTTGGCGAGGGTGTGGAGAAAAAGGAACTCTTGTGCACTGTTGGTGGGAGTGCAAACTGGTCCAACCACTATGGAGAGCTGTGTGGCGATTTCTGGACCTACTAAACATAGAGCTTCCATATGATCCAGCAATTCCACTCCTAGGTATTTACCCAAAGGACACAGAAACATCAATTCCAAAGAGCACCTGCACCCCTGTGTTTATAGCAGCACTATTTACAATAGCTAAGCTTTGGAAACAACCCAAATGCCCAAAAATAGATGACTGGATCAAGAAGATGTGGTACATGTACACCATGGAATATTACTCAGCATTCAAAAAAGATAAACACATGCAATTTGCAGCAACATGGATGGTGCTGGAAGGGATCATGCTCAGCAAAATAAGCCAGAAAGAAAAAGAAAAATACCGGATGGTCTCACTCATAACAGGAATCTAGAAAACTTAAATAAGGGACTAGGAAAATGAATAACTATAAGAAAGTGAAAATCAAAATCAACAAAAACTATGAACCAGAGACACTCTATGGGGGGTAGGGGGCGGGAGGGGAGGGATTGGGGTCAAAATAAGGGGGTTGCAATTGTATGGGGAATATAAAAATAAAATTTATTATTAAAAATATTTCCTCTTTAATATAGATTAATTAATAGATTAAAGTGATTACTAGAGATGTAACAGCCACAGTTTGGGTGACACGAAGGTACTATTCTACCCCTGTTGACCCAAAACAACATTTTAGGATGAGCTACCATGAAACTTGACAAAGAATAGAGCTTTTTTTACTGTGGAAAGCAGTAAGAAAAGTCTTTAAAGTGCTACCAGGGCTCTACTCAGCCCATGGGCTTGTTTTACAGGAAAACTCTAGGTTCCTAGCTTAATGTCTTTAAGAATAGATTTAGATATAAAAGACTAAGAACTATTGTAGCAATAGTTTTTATATATGTCCTCACCTTCCTCTTGTGGCCTTTTGTAGAACCTTCATTCCTGTCAGGCTGCAGGACTTCCCTTCCAACTGTTTGTCTTTCAAGACAGTGTCCTCTGTGTGGACTTCACTGAACATTCCACAGGCATCTTGCACCAGAAGGCAGACCCTATAAAAAAAAGCATATATTTGTTCTTTAGGAGACAATTTTTGGTTTAATAGAGAGATCAGAGTTTCCTTTTGCTTTATTAGCAATCCATTGAATCATCGTCCTAAATGGATGAATCAGGGTAAATAAGGATCTAAGCATACACTTTTTAGATGTGTACTTGCAGATGTTTGGATCATTGTCCACAAAATACAAAAGGAGACAGAATTCTCTTTTAGCATAAAACTGAGCCAAATGTAGTTTAAAAGCACAGAAGCAGAACATGCTTTCAAATCAAATATATTACTTTTCCCAGAAACAGAGTCTCCTCTTTAACCATTTTTACCCCATCTCCCATAACAGGAAACACCTATATTTTGAATAGATGCTTATGCAGGAAAAAAAAAAAAAGTAACATATTGATGAGAAAAAAAATAGGGCTTTTTATGAGAAGATACACATTTACAGACATGCATTTCCCTGCAGGATAAAAACCAGTTTCCCAGCTCACAGCAATAAAAAAAAAAAACAACAAAAAAAAAACTGCTGGATCATACCAGTAATGTGATGAGATTCTCCTGAATTTTTATTTATTTTTATTTTTTTAAAGATTTATTTATTTTTGTACAAGAACCGGGGTACAGGCCAGATGCGCGGGAGGGTGAGAGGATTCACCAAAGACAGAGTGCGGAGCAGAACAGGCAGACTGAAGAAATACACTGCTGAGGGGAGCAGTGGGCGAGACAGGAGAGGTCTGCTTTGCCATGTGGGATTCTCGCTGGCTGGCCAGGATCAAACCTGTGCTGCAGAGGCTGTGGACAGCTTCACAGTGTGGCGCTCAACCAGTTGCACCAACAGGGAGGCCCTCCCCCTAATTTTTAAGTTCAAAGGACACTATTTACAAAAAACCGATTTATGATTGAATTTCCAGTTTTCTCACTTTTTAACTCAGGTAAATTATGTCTTATCATGAAATGATGCATTCTCAGAAAACAGTTTCTGGAATCTGAACAAATTTTAATCAATAAATAACACCAGCAAATAGGTTGTGAGGACCAAAACTATTTTAAAGTTAACAATATGAAAGAAAGTGCATGTAGGAAAAGAACAGATAGTACAATGAACAAAGGAAAGCTAAATCTGAACCAATGAACCTTTTAACACTACCATGGTAAAAAGGAGCAGAAATCTAGACTTCAGGATTAAGTGTTCCAGGTCCATGGGCCCCCATGGTTTGCAAGAGAAGTGAATCTTCTTTGAAAGAAAGCATGTTTACTGGATCATTAGTTTGCTATGGAGTAAAATGAAATAGAGATTGTGTTCAAATAAAAATTACCAAGTAAAAGGAAACCAGTAAATTTAAAAAATAAAAACAAACAAAGACCATTGAGGATTTGAGATATTGGAATAAAAAAAATCATGAAATACAGAATAACTATATTAAAAGGTAAAATAAAAAAAATGTAAATAGGAACAAGCTGTACAAAATGACAGATTTGAAGAATGAAACCAAACTTTTAAAAAGAAAAGCTGTATTTATAAAATAAAAAGTATTAAATAGGTCTAACAAATGGCTATAAATACCCAGAGGTAATCTGAATAAATTACCCAGAATGCATCTTGAGAGCAGAGACAGAAGACATAAAACAGAGAAAAAAAAAAAAAAACAGAAAAAAGAACAGAATGAGAAAATCTAACATATATCTAATAGGAATTCCTGTATAATAACATAGAGAAAGGAGAAGCAATAATTTGAAGATCTAGTAACTGAGAATTTTTCTCAATTGATGTAAGAAATGAATCAAAGCATACAGGAAGAAAAACAAATACTAAATGAGATGTTTGAAGGGAAATTATCCCCATATATGTACCATAATGAAACTAGAGAACATCAAGGACAATGAGATTTTAAAAGCAAAAAGGATGAAAAGACAAAACATCTATAAAGGAATAAAAATATGATTTAAAAGATCTAGAAAAAGAACAAAAAAAAAACCCCAAAAACCAGTAGAAGAAAAGAAATAATAAAAACCAAAGCAGAAATAAATAAAATTGAAACTAAAAAAACAGTCCAAAAGATCAATGAAACCAAGAACTGGTTCTTCAAAAAAATAACTAAAATAGATAAACCCCTAGCCAGGCTCACAAGGGCAAAAAGGGAGAAAGCACAAATAAATAGGATAATAAATGAAAGAGGAGAAATCACAACGGACACGTGTCACTCTACAATCACCCAAAGCTAGACAAAGAAGAAATAGAACACCTAAACAGACTAATTACAATTAGCGAAATTGAAATGGTAATAAAAAACCTCCCCAAAAACAAAAGCCCAGGTCCTGATGGATTTACAAATGAATTCTACCAAACATTTAGAGACGAATTAGTGCCTATCCTTCACAAACTCTTCCAAAAAATTGAGAAGGAAGGTATAATACCTAACACGTTCTATGAAGCCAACATTACACTAATACCAAAACCGAACAAGGACAACACAAAAAAAGAAAACTATAGGCCAATCTCCCTAATGAACACGGATGCAAAAATCCTCAATAAAATTTTAGCTATCAGAATCCAACAGTGTATCCATAAGATAATTCACCACGACTAAGTAGGATTCATTCCAGGGACACAAGGATGGTTCAACATCCGAAAATCAATCAACGTTATCCAACACATCAACAAAAAGAAATATAAAAACCATATGATAATATCAATAGATGCCGAGAAAGCTTTCGACAAAGTGCAACACCCATTCATGATAAAAGCCCTTGAAATTCTTGGGATACAAGGAACATACCTCAACATCATAAAGGCCATCTATGACAAGCCAACAGCCAGTATCATTCTCAATGGTGAAAAGCTGAAAGCATTTCCATTAAGATCTGGAACAAGACAAGGATGTCCACTCTCACCACTGCTTTTCAATATAATACTGGAAGTCCTAGCCAGAGCAATAAGACAAGAGAAAGACATACAAGGAATCCAAATAGGAAAAGAAGAAGTCAAACTATCACTATTTGCAGATGCTATGATAATATACATAGAGAACACCAAAAACTCCATAGAAAAACTAATTAAACTCATCAATCAGTTCAGCAAAGTGGCAGGATTCAAAATCAACATGCAAAAGTCAGAAGCCTTCCTATACACTAACAATAAATCTGAAGAAGAAGAAATGAAAAAAAACCATCCCCTTTATTATCGAAACAAAAAAAATCAAATACTTGGGAATAAATCTAACAAAAGAGGTAAAGGACCATTACAAAGAAAACTATAAAACACTGTTAAAAGAAATAGAAGAAGATACAAAGAAATGGAAAGACATCCCCTGCTCATGGATTGGAAGAATAAACATTATTAAAATGGCCATCCTACCAAAAGCAATATACAGATTCAATGCTATTCCAATAAAAATTTCAATGTTATTCTTCAAAGAAATAGAACAATTATTGATGAAATTCATATGGAATCACCAAAAACCCCGAATAGCCAAAGCTCTCCTAAAAAAAAGAGAAGGGAATGGAGGCATCACACTCCCAGATTTCAGGCTATACTACAAAGCCATAATCATCAAAACTACATGGTATTGGAACAAGAACAGACACACAGACCAATGGTATCGAATAGAAAATCCCGAAATAAACCCACAGATTTATGGTCAACTAATATTTGACAAAGGAGCAAAGAATATGCATTGGAGCAAAGAAAGTCTGTTCACTAAATGGTGCTGGGAAAACTGGGTCGCTACATGCAAAAGAATGAAGCTTGACCACTACCTCACACCATACACAAAAACCAACTCAAAATGGATTAAAGAACTAGACATAAAACCTGAAACCATAAAATACAAAGAAGGAAATATAGGTGAAACACTACGGGATATGCACATCAAAGACATCTTTACAGACACATCACCCAAAGCAGTGATAGTGAAGGCAAAGATAAACAGCTGGGACTACATCAAATTAAAGAGCTTCTACACAGCAAAAGAGACAATAACAAAAACAAAGAGAAACCCCACCAACTGGGAGAACATTTTTGCACACAACACTAATGATAAAGGACGGATCACAAAAATCTGCAAAGAGCTGATGAGACTCAACAACAACAAAGAAAATAATCCAGTCAAAAAATGGGCAGAAGAGCTAAAAAGAAACTTCTCTGAAGAGGAAATGCAAATGGCCAACAGGCATCTGAAAAAATGTTCAACATCACTTGTAATCAGGGAAATGCAAATCAAAACTACCATGAGATACCATCTTACACCAGTGAGAATGGCACATATTAAAAAAACTAGCAACAACAAATGTTTGCAAGGATGTGGAGAAAAAGGAACTCTCCTGTACTGTTGTTGGGAGTGCAAACTGGTCCAACCACTATGGAGAGCTGTGTGGAGATTTCTTGACTTACTAAACATAGAGCTTCCATATGATCCAGCAATTCCACTCCTAGGTGTTTACCCAAAGGACACAGAAACATCAGTTCCAAAGAGCACCTGCACCCCTATATTTGTAGCAGCACTGTTTACAATAGCTAAGCTTTGGAAACAACCCAAATGCGCAAAAATAGATGACTGGATCAAGAAGATGTGGTACATATACACCATGGAATATTACTCAGCATTCAAAAAAGATAAACAGATGCCATTTTCAGCAACATGGACGGCGCTGGAAGGGATCATGCTCAGCAAAATAAGCCAGAAAGAAAAGGAAAAATGACGGGTGGTCTCACTCATAGCAGGAATCTAGAAAACCTAAATAAGGGACCTGGAAAATGAGTAAGAAAGTGAAAATCAAAACCAACAAAAACTATGACCAGAGACACTCTATGGGGGTGGGGGTATGGAGGGGAGGGATTGGGGTCAAAATAAGGGGTTGCAATTGTATGGGGAATATAAAAATAAAATTTATTATTAAAAAAATAAAAATATGATTTACATTAGTCTTCTCAAGAGCAATGAATGAAGCTAGAAGATAGCTGCATATTTTCAGAACTCTAAAAGTCATCTGAGAACTGTGTAC